GTGCTCGGGCAGGTCTGACGGCAGCCTGCGTGCGCGCGAGTTGGGTGCGTGAGCGAGACCCGGATGGCGTGGCGGAGAGGAGTCCTCAGCGCTGCCCCTGCAGCCCTCCGCCGCCTTTTCCGCGCGGGGTCCTCCTGCCGCGAGTGCGGCTCCAGTTGGATTTGCAGAAGGATTTCGAACAGCTGTACAAGCTCCTCCTGCTGCATTTACCAGCCTGGTTTTCAGGGTCCGGTCATGTTTGACAGATCACTTTTTGCCACTTAACGTCAGAATAGCATAGCGGATTTGCCTCAATTAAACGCAGAGTGAACTGTGATCTTGCAAACATGAGGTTTGGCTTCCCTCTCTTAAACCAACAGAGTTATGGGGACTTTCAGATGTAGTTATGTATGGTAAAGATCAGGTTAAATTTAGGATCACCAACACTCTTCTAAAAGTTCTAACTTTGTACTTCATCGTACTCTCTCAAAAAACCCTAAGGGCAGGGACGGAAGCTTGCTTTACCAAATTCTCCCGGTTGTGATGTTGTGCATGGGGTGAAACCGTTAGTAGTGTGGTATTACAGAAGCTGTGTACACCTTGCTTAATGATTCCTCCTCTAATGGTGTTTTCTAGCACTTCAGGGATAACTGATGACATAAGAGCTGATCAGAAAAAGCATTGGGAGGGGGGGAAGGATAAGTGTGCCTTTTGTTAAGAGAAACATAAAAATGAGTTTTCTAGGAAAAGACTGCCCAGCTGGCAGGGGACTTGTAAGCTTATCAAGCACTGACACTTAGCGAATGGAAAACTATGGGCCTTTTAAAGCTGAGATTTAATGTGCTGATAGTTTCATGGGGTCAAATATCTCTATAAATTAAGTTTCACAGTGTTATAATAGAATGCAGGACACAAGAATGAAAACTTATTTCAGAAGAGATCAGAAGTGTGCATGTGCACAACAGTATTTCCTTTTTATTTGAAAATTTAAGCTTTTTTTTTTTAACATTTTAATAAAAAGATGGTCTGTGTTCTAGGAGCTGGGAAAACAACTCTTCTGAATTACATACTGACAGAACAACATAATAAAAGAATAGCAGTTATTCTGAATGAGTTTGGAGAAGGTATGTAAACCTGCAGAAACATTTTTTTTTAGCTGTAAAATGACATAAAATTTCTGGAAGTCAAGAACATTGTATTTTTAAACCCATTACTGAAATTATAGACACACCTTATAGCCTTCAGAAGGGCAAAAAGTCTTTTGGCTGGTGTTCATAAAATTATGCTATGCATTAATGTGTTTTCTACATAAATTCAGTCCCTCAGAGTCAAGTAAATGAATATATTACCCTGTTAGAATTGTTATACCTCCATTTGTACTACTCAGTTTCAAGCAAATGGAAATTAAAATAATGTGTTGGTAGATAATATTTTCTTTTCTTTCCTTTCCCCTCAGCCACTTACAGATCACAAATTGTCCTAGACTAAGAAAATGGGGAGATGTGTGCGTGGTGTCTGTGGTTCTCTGAACTCTTTGCTTTCCTTCTGAGGATTTTTAACGGTTACAGCTGTAATTTCATATCCGTACGGTTGTCAGTGTTGCTTACAGTTTGCACCGTGGTGGTGGTGGTGTTTTGTTAGTTTGTTTGTTTTTGCCAACAAAGATGCACGCCATTTTTCTGGTCATGGACCTAAAATAAAATGCATAGACAGAGCCTTTATTTGATATGGAGGTGGAGGCTGACTTCCTTTTTCTTTAGCAAAATTTGTGGCACTTAGGCTGTACTTTCATCCTCTGGGTTCTGGTCTTTGTAGAACTAACTTGACTTTGGCTTTTAAATTTTTCATAAAATGGCAAATACTAATTTCTAAAGAACGTGACAGAAGCACGGTCTCAGAAGAAAAAAATAATACAAGAGTAAAAATATGTACCAACTTGAATATTTCATCTCTTTTGCAGGCATTGTCATGCAAGTTTGTAGATTAAAATGATAATACTACTTGTATTTCCAGGAAGTGCCTTGGAGAAATCCCTGGCAATCAGTCAAGGGGGAGAACTGTATGAAGAATGGCTGGAGCTCAGAAATGGCTGCCTGTGCTGTTCAGTAAAGTAAGGAAGGACTGCTGTACAAGTTCGTACCATGGGTTTTGGGGGAATTGAGGAAAGGAGGAGACATACAGGATTTGATTCCTAAAACTGATGGTAGTATTGGTTGAGACTTCTTTTGTCAGATAAGACAAGAATTGGAATTTGGGAGATAGACATTTATTTCCTTTTGCCATGTTACTGGATGGGCACTGTGGGATAGGGAGCTCTCCCTCTTCTCTTAATATTATATGCTTTTCTGTAGAGAGCTGAAGATTCAGGGAAGCTGGAACTAGGACTCAAGTTTCCTAATTTCCACATTAAAAACTTAACTCTGTGTTTCTTTCTCTGTATGTTGGTTAATACTTGAATATTGTATACCTCAGAAAGGGTGGAGGGAGAACCTTTTGGTGACGTAATGAAACACAATGTTCCAAACTGTAAGCTGATGGTCACGTTAAAAAGCAAGCAGTGTATTCACCTTGTTTGTTTGAACACTAGCTTGTTTATGCTAAGTTTGTAATAAAGGTGATGGCCTGTTTGTCCTGAAAATTTGGAATAACTGGCTCTGTGCCTTAAATTGGGATAGTAAGTGGAAAACAGAAGACTATTGCATTGTGTTCTGCTGGGATGCAAGGAATGCTGACGTTGCTGCTAGGTTTAATATACATTAGTTTCTTACATAAAATGCCATACACTTATGCTTCAGGCTGACTTCATCAGCTGAAATTTAAGTAAATGAGACATCTTAATTTTGCTGTAGGTGAGGTGGAAAGGCAGGAGAACATGGTTCAGTTCCCTCACCTGTCATCCATACACCCCGTTTCTTTTTGTAATCTCAGCTGCCAAACCAAATAGTTACATATTTACACAGCCCTACTGTCCTTTACAGGGTTTTCACTGCTTGAAAACAAATCTTCATTTAAACCACCTTTATTATGCCTGTCGGGAGTAGGCAAATACTATTTTCAGATGTAAAATGAAACAGAAAACTACAGTTTGCCTGGTATTAGAGCAGCAGCTTGATGACTGAATTTTCATTGTAGACTGCAAGTCCTGACACAGGCCTTTGCTTTGATGGTACTGACACTGTGTTCTGCATCAGAAGATACGTGTTTATATGTGTTTTAGCTTGTTTTCTCTGTTCTCAGGTTTAATTGTTTCTTCTAACAGGGACAATGGTGTGAAGGCTATTGAGAACTTGATGCAAAGGAGAGGAAAATTTGACTACATATTGTTAGAAACAACTGGTTTGGCAGATCCAGGTAGTTCACATTATGGTTTTCATCACAATGATAATTACTCCGTTTTTATAAAGTGCTCATTTGCTCGCCAGTCATTCACTGTGCAAACTGTAATATAAAGTGATGAGTTGTCAGGCACATGCTTTGATTGCTGTGTAGACTAAATCTGAATTGGATAAGGGGCAGAAGCAGGGTCGTGGGTGGGGTTGTTTGGCTGGATGTTTTATTTTGTTTTTTGAAGTTGATCTTAATCGACTCTTAAGCTTAACAGAAATCCAGTTAAAATACATTGCTGTCAAGAGAAGACACTGGGCTTGGAGAAGAGAGGCACTCTGAAACTAGTAGTTTTCAGTAGGCTTTTGCTGTTCTGCATTGCTTCTTCCAGAGTATAAATTATTAGCATCTGATGTATTGTTAAATTGGTTGTGATAGGCCTTATGTTTTGTGAAGTCATAAAATACACTGTGAAACAGACTAATACGTTCTTCTGGTAGGTACAGAGCAATAATAGATCTTACAAATTCCTTGTGTGCCCTTTAGTGATACTTGTTATAAAAAGGTGTTTAAACTTGAGCTCATGTTAGTAATAGCTATCTAAAACAATTTTCTCTGAACTGTCTCAGTTAAAAAGGTGTTGTTTGAGTGTGAAGGGAAATTCTTATCAGAAATTCAGTTGTTTCCCATTTAGGAGACTGACACTTTCCAGCTCAAAGCTAAATAGTTGTTAGGGTAAAGTAATGTTCTTCAAAAGAAAGGACATTGATTTGGCCTCTGTTACACACAAATTCTATTTGAGTCAAATTGGAAAACTATTAAGCTTTTTAGAAAAAAAATCAATAGATACCAGAAAACCATTAGATGTTGTGGCCCTTGCTATATCTTGCATGAGTAAGCACTGTTGAACAACTGACAGGTATTTGGTGTTGATACAGAGTGATGTTTGGACGACTGCATTTTGTCACTTTAGGTGGACAGTTTTAGGTATTAGAATGAGTTTGGTTACTGATTTTCTTTTTTTTTTTCTTCTTCTGATGTGCTTGATACTCTTAAACAGCCTGCCAGTAACTAAGGATCTGGTAACTGAAAAAAAAATACTGACTGTTCTCCTTGTGGCACTGATATATGCTCAATTGGTTTGTTTCATAACAAACTGTTTGGGTTTTTTGTTTTTTTAATAAATATACAGCACATCCTACAGTTGTTAGCATCTGTTTTATGGGGACATTTTAGCAGAAAACAGGAGTAGCATATTCCTAGGCCATGTGTAGTACACAGGTATCAGGTCAAAATTCCAAGCCCTTGATAGAATGTGATCCCAGTTGTCCAGATACTTGCAGATTCTTTTTGCTCAAGACTCATCAGTTTAGTATGTTCCATTTTACATTCTAAAGAAATAAAAATTACTATAAAAGGAAGAGAGAGTGTTCAGTGTTTCATTATTCCAGAAGTACCTCATCTGGATGGAAATTCAGTGGCTGATGAGCATAGAATATTCATAGAATAACACAGTTTGGAAGGGATGTTAGGAAGTCTTTGGTCCAACTTCCTGCCCAAAGCAGGGTCAGCTATAAGACAAGACCAGGTTGTCTGGGATATCAAGTCATATATCTCCGTCCTCTGAGGATAAATATGACACAGCCTCTCCAGGCAACCTGTTCTGTGCCTGCCTTTTCATGGTGAAAAACCATTTTTCTGATACTTGTGGTCTTAACCTCGCTCACATCAATTTACTACAGCTGTGCGTTATACTTCTGCCACGTACTGGCTCCCATTGTTCTGCCGCAGCCTGGCTCGGTCTTCTCAGTGACTCACCTGGAGGTACCAGGGAGGCTGCTGTTAGGTTCCTCAGAAGCTGTCCCTTCTCCAGGCTGAAGGAACCTAGTTTCCCCGCCTGTACTCCAGCCTCAACTGTCTTGGTGATTCTGTGCTGAACTCACTCCAGTTTATTGATGTCTTTCCTGTATGGGGAATACCCATGCCGGAAGTGTGAGCTAGATGTGGGCTTGAAAGGGCTCAACAGAGGAGAATAACTTCCTTAGCTGTGCTTCTGTTCCAACAGCCTGTGTGCTTTTGGCCTTCTCTGATCCTAGGGCACACTGCTTGCTCGGCTTGCTGCCTACCAAGACCCCCAGGAACTTCTCAAAGAGTCTTGAAAAATTTGCTAGAGGTGATGTAAATGGCATGCAGTGCTTTCCCCTTGTCCACAGATGCCTGGCCTTCTATGAAAAAAACATTGTACGGCCTCCACAGATTGATCAGGCATGATCTACCCTTGTAAACTTCCCTTCCAGTACAATATCTGTTTGCAGATTGAATCTACATTATACTTCTTAACTCAGTCTATCTTAAAATTACCTGAAGCCAGAAGCTTTACTGTGCAGACCTGACATAATTAAGGAAAACACTCTTTTCTATATCTGGTTATTCTTTACTTTCTTCATTCTGTTGATTTATGATGTAATAAGCTGCATAGCAGAGTTTATAGAAACTAGTGAAGAAGAGAAGCTCCCTAGGATTGAGCTGACTTCTCTCCAGCATGTCAGTTCCATTTTTCTTTAACAGTTTTATCTCCTTTTTTATCTCCCTTTTCTTTTGTGTGTGTGTGCCATGACCTAGAAACAGTGACTGAAAGGTGAAGAGGAGTACAGATTTTTTTTTTTAGAAATAAGGGAGCCTTGGAATATAGTAAAGACAAATAATTGTTATCACTGAGTAAAGGTAACTTAGACAACTTGCATGCATCTGGAATTGTGAGATTTTTCAAGCTTTTTGTAGTCATGGCTATCGATGTGCACAAAAATAAAATGCTCTGGTAGCTGTTATTAAATCAAATGTTTGGTTGGTTATTCGACATCTGCGATGCTTTCTGGGTTTGGAAGAGTGGAGTTTCAAGTACAGTGCTACAAATTTTTTTCTATGAAATGTTTGAATATTGATAGTTTGCTGGAAAATGTCAATTTTGCAACTAAATATAATGCACTTCTTAGGAGCTGTGGCCTCCATGTTCTGGGTGGATTCTGAGCTGGGAAGTGATATCTATCTTGATGGTAAGATGTGCTAGATTTTTTCCAATGTATTGGCATTCCATATCTGGATTTAGTGCGATGTATCCTTATCATTTCAGGGAAGGTTTCAGAAAATGTTTGAAATACATGGTCTTGGTTCTCACATCCCCAAATTTGATTAGAGAGATCCCCTTGCTTATTCTAATGCTTGTTTATCTACTTGGTGAGCTGTTTCAGTTTGCTAAATCCAACAAAAGTTGTGTAATGTTTTGCTAAGGGATCAGATATGGAGAGATCATGATTGTGGTGTAAGGGGGGAAAAAACCCCCTCATTAGTTAGATGTTACAAAACATAATTTAGGAGTTATATTACAACTTTTTTTTTTTTTTTTTTTTTTTTTTAACCCCCCCAACGCAGTGTTTCCTAAATTGTTTCCTTTTTTCTTAACTCTTAATTTGTCAGCATCTCTCCTGCCTTTTGTTTTCTGCCTTCTTTACCTATTGTACTATTGTTAGCTCTAGTATATGCAGTTAAAAAGCATGTTGAATATTGATTTTTTATTTTTTTTTTTTAATGGAGGAAAAAACCTTACTTTTTGGCGTAAAGAAAAGTCCTACTAACACTTTGGTCAGTCTATAAAATCCCCATCTAGCCAAGGAAATATTTGGTTCAATAGGAAACAGCCTCCTAAGTTTCTGCCAGAGAATTCAAGATTCCTGGTCACTTATGATTAGAATAATTGTATACCTCAATCAGTCTCCTCAATTTGTTTCAATCATCTCTAAAACTATACCTCTGCCAGTTTGCTGTTGTGGAAGAAGGAGGTAGGCGTCCACCTTGTGAGAATTTCTGTCACTTGGTTTAGTAGATGTTTTTTTACCAGAGATATGAGTAACAAATAAGAAACTAAATAGGTGACAAGTCTAGTGTTCAGATACACTGGAAGTATTGAAAGTATTATAAGCAGTTGTAAATGTGATGATACTGTTACCTCAGTAATTGTACAGGAAGTTTACAAGTTGTTAAATTGTTGGCTGCTTTCAGCACATTTCTATTCCATTTTAATGTTCTCTTTTAGGTATTGTATCTGTTGTTGATGCAAAGCATGGATTGCGGGTAAGTTACTGGATTTGTTACACGGTTTAGAACTGCAGCACTAGAACAGCTATTGCAGTAATGTTCATTCAGTTGAATTCTATTTTTACAATTGCTTTAATTCTTACAATGGATGAGGATGTATTTCAGTTGCTGTGGTGCATTAGTTCTATATTTTGAACGGAAACAAGGAAGTACTGATATTCATAGGAATTCAGATTCTTAGCAACATAGCAACGTGACTACTAAGAGTTGTCAGGTTGCTAGATACTTGATTTCTTCTAGTTCTGTCACTTCACTCATGAATCTTGGTTGTATTCCAAATAGGCATTTGGATTACTCTATAACAGTGGAGAAATTTGTCTTACAGGGTGTCATTGGTCCATGTTACTTCGAAGGAGAGGAGTAAGAACAGGCCTCTCAGACCAGTGTGATAACAAGTGAGGGCTCAAATTGGGAAAGGTGCTAATGTAATGGCAACTGGGGTGAGGAGAGATGAGAGAGCCAGGCGTCTAGGTACCCTTTCAGATTAAAAGGTGACTTTGTTACATGGAAACAGACAAAAAGAGCAGGTATTAGAGTAGCCTATATAAAGCATAATGTAAGATCAAACCTATAGAACAGTGAGGTTGGATAGCAGCAGAAATTGTGGTTAAATCAAATAGTTCAACTTTTTTGTAACAGCTAGTCATAAAAAGAATTACTTGCAATGTAGTAACTTAGGAAGTGACTACTTTGATTAGGTATTGCTTTTGCAGGATTCAAAATAAAAGTCACCATAAGAAGATTCCTCTATGGTATAAAAATCCCATCATGCTTTGAAAGTATTTTTAATATCTCTGTATTTTACAATGGCTGCAAAAAGCTAAGAAAACTGAAAATGGTTAACAAATAAGGAAGCGATCCCTCCTTTTTAAGATTTTATTTTGTTTGGACTGTTTGGGTTTCTTGTTTCAGTTGAGCTGATCTAATAGCTGATTTTCTTCTCATCAATTTGTGTTGCACCGGGATGGAACTAATCTAATGCCATAGCAAGCCGGTTTGGCAAGTTAAGCCATTATGTTTTGCAAGGGCTTGTGGAGGAGTTGGGAGAAGAACAAGGGGAAGGGGCTGGGAGCTGGTTTGCCCTTTTAATCAGGAGCTGACTTTTAAATCAGCTCAACTATCACAGGAAACCACAGCACGTCTTAAAAGTCAGCCCCCTCTTCAGCTGAGTACTCTCATACTAACTCAGATGTGTTTTATTACTTGCAAAAATATTGTTCTGTTTTATCTTTCTCTTCATGCAATGCTGATTTATTGGCTTGAATCAAATGTAGTTGTGTTGCACACAGCAGCACTGAATTGTTATTGCTTTAAAATTTTTAATATTAAAACTTTTAAGTAATATGTCAGGAGCAACACAAAAATGTTTTGAAACATTCAGCTTTTCTATCCATTATTGTCTTTGACAGCTTGCTGAAAACTCTTATATTATTAATCAGTAAGACTGTACAACACTGACATCCACTCAGAATAACAGAAACTTCAGACTTTATACCCAGTAAATAACTTTTCCTTATATATATGTATAAAGGACTTGCTAACTTGTGCAATTCCTCTGTCTGCAAAGCTTGACCTCAACACCTGCTTCTGATTCAGAGAATTATGAAAGCTGTACAGGTAACTACATTGAGATAATAGGCAGCAATTTAAGGGTGTCATGCTTCAAAGAGCCAACCCATCACAAGAAAAGCTGACAAATAGTACCCTGTGACCAGTCAGCCAAATTGAAACTGAAGTGGTAATTGATATCATGGGTTATCACTCTAATGGATTTGTCACCCAGCAATCTGAAACACTCATTTTTTTAATCACACACGAACAGTTGGACAAGTTGAAGTGACAGTCCTTTACTTTCAGGACTTGACATCTGTGCTACTGGCATTGTCCCTTTCAGGGCAACAAATCTGACAACACTTAATTCAATAGAATAAATACACAGAGGATTACAAAGAAAAGGTGAGAGGAGAGGTTCCTTCCCAGTCATCTTCTTGTTATGCTCTGCTTAGGTTGTGCATAATCAAGAGAGAGTTCTATTTACTTTTTTTTTTTTAAGGTGACAGACTGACAGTAGGCAATAGTCTAGTTTTGATTTTCAAATCAAATAATACTAGATGCCTAGTTTTTTAATTTATGTTTCCCATGACAATTAGTTCCAATTTCATTTGGTGTTCTTTTGTCTTTAAAACCAAATTTTAAAATAATATTCCTGGTACATTTAGAGCTGATGAAGGAATGCACAGGAGTCTTTAATCTTCCCAGAGATGTCAGGCGTAAGAGGTGAGCTCTTACTAATATTACAGCACCAGTTTAAAGTTTTGCTGCCTCCAGGTGCCTGTGATGCTTCTCTCTTGGAGATTGCTGCCTCCGTGGCAGAGTGGGCAGAAAATAACTTGTAGCTGGACCTGTTGCTCTGCCCAAATTATTGATGAAAGTAAGGCTTTATGTTGCTAAACTTCATGCTGCTTCTTGAGATGCAAGCATTTTTTTCCCTTTCACTAATTATTCTGTGAGGACATTGACATGGGCAAACAGGTGGAGCAGAACACTGCAGATGGTTAAGATACTCAGCTCCTGCAGCGTGACCAGAAGCTGCTGCTTTAGTCAGTGCTGACTGACTCTTCTGCCCAGTTACAGATTGAGTAGGCCACAAACACTGATGTTGGGCGGATGTGCCAAGGAGTAGTGGTTTACTTGTACAGACCTGGAAAAATAATTACGAATTTTTACTTTAAAAGTACAGTTTGTCAAATCTTTCAGAGAAAAGGAGTATGCGGTTATGTGTTTGAAATCCTGTGCCACAAGCCAAACTCATCTTTAGCAGTTAGCCAACATCACGCTCATTAGAAAAAATACTGTACTTTCATTTTTTCAGATATGTTTTTCCATGGTTACTGTATGTAATGGTGGGGTTTTTTTACTTCATCATAAACCTGAAAAATAATGAAAAATAAATACTGTAATACAATTTTCCATTTCTTTAGCATTCTAGTCATAGAACTCATTAAAAGAGAAGGGGTTTCATAAATTATAAGCTTCTGAAATGGTGAATGTATAAACATACTTTGTCACTGTCATTTTATAGAAAAATTCTAGATGCCATCTTCCTTGATACCTTGTTGAAAAATATACCTTAGCTGGATTGATTTTTACTTCCTGTAACTGCAAATGAATTTAAATGCCATTTGAATATGCTTAATCCAACTTTTAAAATTTTTGTCTAGCACTTGACGGAAGAAAAGCCAGAAGGCCTTGTCAATGAAGCATCTCGGTATGTCTATATATATATATATATATATTATATATCACAGTTAGAAACTGTGCTGTATAGAAGTTCATTAGAAGTGGCTTCTTTTTCTTTTATAAGGCTTTTCTCTCCTCCCTTGCTTTTAAACCAAGGAGGATTGGTGTAATGAGGTAGAAAATGGGAAAGTAACTTCATGCTCCATTTGGTCTTTTTGCCAAGATCTCACTCTTCTAATACCTATTTTAAGAGGGATGGGGTTTTACATAGGTGAAGGAAAACCACCTCTGTTGGGGGGAAGAAGGAATTGCATGCTAGAATCTATCAGATGCTCAAAGTAGAACTGGAGATAGAGGAATATTTTTTGCTAGATATGGAGCCACAATGATTAAGGGTAATTGTAACAATAGAAGTCTTCATAAATCAAAGAGACTTCAAGTATGACTTTGCGAAGAGTGCATGCAAGAGAAATAGGGGCTTGGGAAGTTCATAAATTACAAAGCACTGCAGATTACGTGACTTCTTTAAAAAAAAACCAAAACAACCAAAAATCCAAAACAACCCCAAACTAGCAAGCCTTTGTAGACTCTTCTTATGGCAGAGAAGAGCACCTCAAGAAGACAGTAGGACTGCAGTTGTTACTCCATGATCTTGTAGTTTGATTAATGCTTTCCTTTCTGTACTAACAATGCTCGTACTGTTTTCTTGGTGGTATGGGAGAGATGTTTTTTCTGTATTTGCTCATGTTGTCTCTTCTTTTTTTTTTTCTTTTTTCCTCTCCTTAATACATAGGCAGGTTGCATTAGCTGATCTTATAATCATCAATAAAACAGATTTGGTTTCAGGGGAAGAGTTGAATAAAGTCAGAACATCTGTCAGGTAAGAAACTTTTGGCATAACTGTAACACTGTACTGTCTCAAAGGTTATTTTTATTTAAACATAGTTACTTCTTTCTTGCTGTTAACACGGATATTGGATCTCATGATTACACTGACATAAGTCATTAGCTCAGCAGGGAAGATGCCCCTTTCTAAAGGCTTTTCAATACTTCCATATGCTTACACAAGCTTAGCAGTTTGCCTATCCAGGTAAGATTTGACGTTACTTGCTAAGGACAGGCCTTAGGCTTAAGTGTCTGTGTTCTTACGTTTTTTGGCAGCTGTTCCCATTTTTCTGAATCAGCATCAGGGAAAAAAATTTGCTAGGAGACAAAAGTTCACTAGTGAATACAAACATGTATGGAGGAAGTCCCTAATAATTGTCTTGGGTGTAGAGGAACCAATGGTCTGAATCAAGTTAATGATCAAAGGCTTGTCCCATCTTTTTCTATCAGTATCACGATACCTGAAATGAAACTCTGACATTTTGAAATTATTTACAACTCTATTAGTGTTTTGAATTATGAAAGTAAAAGTGTATCATGAGGAGTCTTGCACAGGAAAATGCTATTCTTAATGGTAGTATTTTTTTGTCAGAACTTACGCGGTTCCGCAACCTTTACTCAGGGTATGAAAAAGTCATAAAATGAAGTCTTGTTGGGGTGTCTGTTGCTTTCTTCAACAAGTTGATAACAAAGGTGGGGTTATAGTTGTGGTGCTATTTCGCATGCTGTTTCCCATGATTAAGTTGTTCAAGCAATGTATTACAGTTGCATTTTCATCTAACTTGTAATTTTTCTATTTTATTTTAGGTCAATAAATGGACTTGTTAAAATTCTAGAGACACAAAGATCAAGGTATTAAATGGCCACTATTGCTAGGTACCAGGTCCTGCTTTGTGACAGGTTTAAGTACATTATTAGATCAATTTGCTTGAAGGAGAACTATTGAATTAGAAATAGTTAATTCATTATTTATTTTACTAATAGGTATTTAGATAAAGGAATTTTTTTAAAGAAGTAAAAATGTAATTTTATTTGTTACTGTTCATGTTGTACACTCTAGTGTATAACTAGTTTAAAAAAATTGCTATTAAGGTGTAGATTAGTTTACAGAGCTTATCGCTAGTGGGTTTTATTGAACTTTGCAGTAGAACCGTAAATATTTCTTGTTTACATGAGAGGTGGATTTTACAAAAACTTGGGCATTAATTTTTCTAAAACCTGCATTTTTTTTGAAGTTTAATATGAATATGGCTTTTAATTATTAAAGTTGCACTTTAGTCACGTTGCCATTTGTGGAGTAATAGCATTTGGAAAGTTCCTGAAAAATGCTAATATTCGTGTATTTTAATTGGCTTCAGCATATTCCAAGAATGTAGCAGGTTTTTAAGGCAGTGTTACAGGTAGAAATTCAAAGTTTCTCATAACTTGTTAACCAGATCTTGTAACTAAAAAGCAACTTGTAAAGCCAAGTTGTAGCTGAACTAATCATTAATCATGTGCACTATAATGGTGTCTTTCTTTTGTGTCAGTTTAAAGATTTTTCTCACTTATGATGGCTGCTGCAAATAAGTTGCTACTACAAAATTACTTTTGCAGGGGAATTTATAAGAAGGAAAAGTAATTGCATTGTTTTTGCTATTTTTCATTGAAATTCTAACTCTCATTTTTTTAATAAGGGATTAAATGGAAATAGTATTCCCAGGGACATTGGGAGAGCAGGTTATCTTTCAGGCTGCTAGGACTCATTTGTGTGCTATTACATCAATTATTTGACTATATTATGATAAATGTTCCTGTAATACAGCTTCCTGTTTTAAGCAATTTTTGAAGGGAAAATAGTAGACATAATCTTAATAGTATACTTGGCTTTTTAAAGTTATTGCCAAATGTAATTGGAAGGGTAGAGAAAAATACTTGCTGCTGTTGGCTGATCAGATAGGAACCAACAAGTGACTGCAGAATATGTATTTTATTTGGTAACCCAGGGTTTTGAAGATGGGTGCTTGTCTGGCTTTAATCTAAAGATCAGCTTGGTTTATAGCTGATCTGGTTAAAGGTGTCCCTGCTTACTGCAGCGGGGTTGGACTAGATGACCTCTAAAGGTCCCTTCCAACCCAAAGCATTCTATGATTCTGTATTTCCAAAAATGTTAATCTTGTTAACATTTCTGTTGACTTCAACTTATTTGAAACTCTGTCTGCAGTCTGACCGCTGGAAGCTTTATGGCTTGCCAGTTACACTGCGAAAAGCATTCTCTTTCGTGACTATCATGTTAGTTCATAGGGATTATTCTCATATTGTTTTCATTACTTCGTTCAAGGAGGAAGGTGAAATCTTTAAGTAGCTTTGACAGCTTCATGCTCCTTGTTAAGAATGCTTACAACAAGAATAAACTATTCTTATAGAATACAATTCAATAAACAATATAGAGGGGATCATAAGTTCTGTTACTGAGAGGTTTTGTATTGATTAATTTATTGTTCTTCTAGTGATCCTCAGTAAATAATTTCTCTTTATGTAAGAGACGCGTGCTAACTTGTTTTCTTCAGTGGATTCATTGTCATTTAGGGACTTATGTTCAAAACAGCAACTGTGGATACACCTGTGAGCAATTCTGATAATCAAGCTTTTAATGTTCACCAGCTTATTTGATGTTAAGAGTTTTAATGTGCAAAATAGTCACTCTAGATTCTGCTGCAAAATTTTAGACGTGTTATTTTGTCCTGTTCTGTAAATTCAGTATTACTAAGTTAGTATTTAGTAAAGTTGACTTGTATTAGAATAATGCTGCTGGCATTTTTCTCTGTCTATAGATGGAGATGAGAATGTTCTGGTGGCTCCAGGTTAAATTTAACCAAGATTTTATTGTGGTGGTAGATCTTGGATATTTACTCATGGCTAATTTTACAGTATCCATATTTCTCTCTCTTTTATTTTTGAGACCTCTCTACAGTTTTCATGACCTCTAATGCAGTGAGTTCTTTCTTTATCTAATGTATGTGCTTGAGTGCCACATGAAAGATTGAAAGACAGAAGAAGAACAAATACTGCAAAGTAATGGAGTTGCAAAGATATTATTGTAGCATTTCCATTTCCTGCTCTTCAGTAAACTTTTGGGAATATGATACTGATTTTTAAAATTCTGGAACTTGTATTTTGAGGAATGGGAAATTTTACCTTTGCCACAGAATGGGGCAAAATCATGAAAGATGATAAGGGCTTAGGAAAGCACGTACTTTAAAAAGATTTGCAACAGATGTCTCCGAAATCAAAGAAGTGGCAACATGATGATTCTACTGAGAACAAACTGGTTTTGAGAAAGCAGATCAGGAGTTCTTTAGTTGCAAGGCAGAGTACAGAAATGGTCAGTGAAATGCTTTAGAGGGGGAAAAGAAACGAACTCTTCTGATAAAGCTAAACAGGTCATAAATTGCGTATTCATGGGTCTGACTGCCCTAGGAAATCAGTGCAAGTTTGAGGCCAAGATTTTTGTTTCTGTAAAGATGGTGATGGTATCAAGCATGGCTAACAATTTTGAAGAGGACACTAAACATCGTGCTTTGTGTTTTAAACCAGTATCTGTCCATGTCAATTAGGAAGAGATCCAAATGTATCATTCTGTGGTATCTGATGCCAGCCAGCATTAAATTTTGAGTATTAGATTAAGTGCACTTCAGATGCAGTCCTCAGTGACAACTTTTGTGTTACTAGTATGTATTCTTTAGTGAGTGACACTTACTGTCCCTCCCATGATTAAACATACCAAAAGTGAAATAAGCACAAAATTAGTAATTAAACATGTTACTTCAGAACATGTCTTTTTTTTTATTGTGGGGTTTTGTCCTTCAAGTCCACATGTAAAAGGGACCAAGGTAGCATTTTCTTGAGTATTTCTATATGATTTTCAGAACACTGCTGAGAGCCAACAACTAGCACTGAGTTGGTCATGAGCTTCAGAGAGGCATTATTTATGTGTTTTACATTATAAACCTTTCATCTTGGAAACTGCTTTGTAAAACTACTGTTGGCTGTAAAGGTTTAATAATACTGGCTACACTCCAGAGATTTTTTTTCTGTTGTTTTGTTTGTTTGTTTTTAACCTCTCATATATTTCTTGTATTCAGTCACATATCATTATCTGCATTTAGAAAGCTGTTAGTCGCTATTAGCAGTGAAACCTGTAGTCTATATTGCTTTTGTAAAAAAGCTTCTTACGCAAGTTTATAGGTAGCAGTTTTTATAAGTAAATGTGATCAGTGCTGTCTGTTTCATATTACATTTTTCGTTTGTCTTAAGTGTCAGTTGTTAGAGCTGAAATTCTTTGTAGTAGCACTTGCATCATAGCATATTTCAGTTTTGTTTGCCAACAGTGTGTCAGTAGAAACTATGTATATTCCAGGGGTTTGTGTGTTGAGAGGAGGGTCTATATTAGTAATATTAAGGGTGCAGAATAATTGCTGGAAGAATTTCAGACTTCCTTTTCCCATTTAGGGAAAATCAGTTACTAGTCAGGTATCCAGTATGAGGGATTTTATCATCTGTCTTGAAAGTACCTTGTATTTTACTGTATTTTTTTTAAATTATATTTCTGTGCTTACATATTACTCTGTAAATAAAAACTGCGTTTCCTTGTAGGAGACAATACCAACCACCAACATCCAAAAATAATGCTAAGGATTGATGGCATTAGAATGTTAGACAGGAAAACAAACATAAGATTTAGTGGACCATTTGAAAAATAATTATTTAAGTATACATGTAAATATTTAAATATTTAAATATAGCAAAGATACAAAGCTTTCTTTCTTCCCCCTGTTTAGAGTTGATCTCTCCAATGTCTTGGACCTGCATGCTTTTGACAGTTTATCTGGAATAAGGTATGGTGATAATTTCACTGTCTTTTATTAGAGATTATATCCATTGTATAAATACATGAATGAAACAGCCACTCAAATCCTGACTGAAATTTGCATCTGAGTTTCTGTTAGAAATTCTAGTTTAGTTGCTTATTTTAAATTCACTTTATAAGTAGTAATCTGAGACTGATAATTTTGTCCACTTGAAGTGCGTGCAACAAAACATTATTGATTTTTTAAAGTGAAATGAGCCACAGTGTGCACAATTGGTTGGCTTTTTTCCCCAAAATACGAGTTTTGCTTTAATTGTAGTAGTAGAACAGATTTGTACACTCTTTTCTCGTTCTCTTAAAACTAAAAGGATGTCAAAATTTTTCTCACTTCACATCATGATGAACTGGAGGCTGCATGAGTTTTCACAGAAAACAATGAGGGACTGAAGTTCCACAACAAATGAAGCCATTGCAAGTTCTGCTTACTGTGTTCCATGTTAGTTCTTTTTTTTTCTAATGCTAAATGTGAGTTCAGCATGCTAAATAGGTGAAAAAGTAAAATTGGAGGTGAGAGAAGGGCTTTCTGTTGCCTTTGTGTGCTGAAATTCTTCAGTGAAGAATGCAAGGAGTACAGAAGCAGTCATAAAGGAAAGGAGGGGATATGCAACTGGGGGCAGTATTGGCTTCATTTGCTTCCTGGACACACGCTGTTCACTTCAGGATAGAGGAACGTAGCTGCTTCCTTATTCACAGAAGGGAGAAATCGCAGAAGATCCAAGCTAGTAACCTCTAGTAGATGAGATATGCTCAAGAGATTTCCCAATGAACTAGTGCAGTACTGTCCAAAGGACAGCCTGATTTTCCCTTTCTTTTTGCTGGCACTGGCTTTTGTCTGATCTATGAGAAGTAGTGTTTGTTTCTTTTGAGCTCCTCCAAAAGCTTTGAGCTCATCTAAAAGCACTGTTGTAGACTGCTTAAATGATTTTATTTAACCTCTGTGCAGTGAAATTGAGCTTAGAGCTCGGTTGGGAGGGATTCATTGGAAAGCTTCCATGGAGGATAAATGAGCAAGTGAGTGCTGGGAGTTTTTCAAGAACACTCTTCTGGAAGCACAAAACCAGTTCGTCTCCTTTAAAGGTAAAGGAAGTAGGTGGAGCAAGAAACCCCTTGGCTTAACTGTGAGCTTCCGAGTCTTCTCAAAACCAAAAGAGAAGTATACCAGAGATGGAAAAGCAGATGAATACCCGTTGAGAACTACAAGGACATTGCCAGGGCATGCAGAGATGCGGTGAGAGAAGCAAAGGCTCAGCTTGAATTGAAATTGTCCAGATATGTCAAAAACTACAAGAAAGGGTTCTTCATGTATGTGAACAAGCAGAAACAGAAGGAAAAGGGCAAACTGTACTTGACAAACGTGATCACCTTCTATGACAAAGTAACCTGCTTGGTTGATGTGGGGTGAGCGGTGGACATTGTCTACCTGGATTTCTCCAAGGCTTTCAGTGCAGTTTCCCACAGACCCCTCCTAGACAAACTGATGTGGTATGGCCTAGACAAGTGGTCTGTGCGGTGCGTGGGGAACAGGCTGTCAGGCTGCACCCAGAGGGTGGTGGTAAATAGCTCTTTTCAAACTGGCAACCTGCCACAAGTGGGGGCCCCCAGGGATCG